ACTCCCCTATCAGCCCTACTCTGTGAGTGACAGGGGGGAGCTCCTCAACCCCCTGATCAGCCCTGCTCTGTGCATGACTGGGGGGAGCTCCCCAACCCCCTGATGGGCCCTGCTCTGTGCGTGACAGGGGAGAGCTCCCCAAACCCCTGACTGACCCTGCTCTGTGCTATTTGGGGGTTATCCGCTATATGCAGTTGAACCTTATTTTAAATGGTATAAAGAGGCATATTTGTTTTAACATTTTAACAATTATTACTAAAGAGCATTCTTGTAACAAGTCTCTTGAAACCAATAAATAGAATCCTGCTTTAAAATTATATATTCAACACTTAGCCATTTGTCACATAAATGACTTTTTAAAAAATTGTGTTAGTTGAAAAGCATTATTGAGGAAAACACCTCTAGTACCTAAAATCATTTAATTTTCTATTACTCACACAGTATGAAAACACACTGGGTACAATCATAGTAGCTAAAATTTATATAGTACATCGTAGTAAATTCTCAGGTACTTCTCACAACATTCTTATAAAATAGTATTATTATTATTTCCCATTTCACAGATGAGGTAACTGAGGCACAGAGAAGTAACGTCACTTGGCAAAAGTGATACCACCAAGTAAGTGGCAGAACCTGGATCTGAACCTAGCTGTTTTACGGTAAAACCTATATGTTAACCCACTAAGTTAGTGTAAGTTTCAGAAAGGTTTCAAAGACATTGGCAAGATCAAGGCACCAGAAAGGGCCAGGATTGAGACATAAACCAGGTCTTCTGATTCCAGTTCTTTTCATTTATTCATGGTTGACACCAATGAGGTTTTCTTAATTAATCATGCATATTTTCAGACTATTATAAGCCCTACTATCATGAAAAGATAAACAAAACACTTTCCATAATTAAGCATATGCTCAAATATAACATACATTTAGCATCTTCCAAAGGAAGTAAGAAAGGTAATCTCCCCTCTTGGGTATCAGAGTTTCTGATTCAAAGAAATTGACCCAACATCTAAAAAATTTAAATAACCATATCTATCTATACTAATAAAAGGGAAAGATACAAATTAACCGCCACTCCACTACACCCACAAGCCACGCCCACTAGCCAATCAGGAGACAATATGCAAATTAACCCAACAGCCACGGAGCTGGAGTGAGCAGGAGGCTTGGGTTGCCTCCGGCGATGGAGGAAGCCAAGCTTCCCGCCTGCCCTGGATGCCCTGGGCTCCGCTCAAGGCTACAAAGTTTCAATTATAAAAGATAAATAAATCCCACATACCTGCTTCCAGCCCGCCCTGGCCTCTGCTCAAGGAGGCACTGAAAAAAAGAAAAAAGAAAAAAGAAAAAAAAGGAGAGGCTGGGAGCTTGGGTCTCTGGGGGGCATGGACAGCCTGAAAACGGACATCAGCCCCTCACCCAGGCTGACAAGGCACTCCAGTGGGACCCCCCCACCCTAAAGGGGCTGTGGGCAGCCTGAAAATGGCCTTCAGCCCCTCATCCAGGCTGGACAGGAACCCCAGTAGGGACCCCTATCCTTAAGGGGGTGTGGCCAGCCTGAAAACAGCACCCAGGTTGGCCAAACCCCCAGGGGTTGAGGGTCCATGCTTGGGGGCTTGGCCAGCCTGCAAACAGACATCAGCCACTCATCCAGACTGGCGAGGCCCCCCAGCAGGACCCCCCACCCTGAAGGGGGTGTGGCAAACCTGCAAACAGCCATAAGCCCCC